TGAGATCTGAGGAGCTTCCGGTATCTATGAGGATTCGGCCAACTCTCTGGTTGGCCACTTTACATTCAATAACGATAGGGTCGTCATGCGACCCTCTTACCCCTCCTAGATCTTCTTCAGTGATGACAATCTCAGGAAATGAATATTTGGAGGGTCGTTCTTGGTGAACGGAATTCACATCTAACCGCCTGATATTGTCTTTGTTGCCCCTAATAGTGGGGCCGCCTCTTGAGAAGCCGCCTGCAATGGTGTAGACGACTGCATCATCTGTATCGGAGCTGTCGGCCTGTTGGTTTTTTTTGGTCGACTGCTTTTTTGAGGAAATGTTCCCCGTAGATTTCTTGACATAAGTGTCAAGATCACCTTGCTCAGCCAGGCGGTCCAGATACCGCATGAGACTGATGCATTCATTGGTGTGATGACCAACATCTTCATGATAATCACAGAATTTTTCTTGGTTCCGATTGTTTTCAGAACCCTTCATGGGGACCGACTTCTCAATTGAGATCCGTCCCTTGATTTCCTTTAGGATAAATTGGCTATCCTTGTTAAACGCATACTTTGGGGAGTATGGTTTGAATTCTTTTTTATTTTTCTGGGCCGGCTGTTTAGAGGAATCAGCCGCCCAGACCTCTTTTCTCTTCTTGTCTTTGTTTGACGACTGTTTCTGTCGTCCTTCTCTTTTGTCGGACCTTTTCCCGTCTGACTGTTTTACCGTACCACAAAGATCAGTCGCCTGTATATAGGCTTCCGCTTCAATCAAGGCCTCTTGAAGAGTCGCCACCCTCTTTCGGACCAAATCAAATTTGAAGGTCGACCCGTCTTTAAGACCTCTTAAAAAGTCAGTATAGGCTACTTCATCCGGTAACCCTTAAATCTGTATTCTCATCAGGTTAAACCGCCTGATGTAAGAACGAAGACCCTCCTTCTCGCCCTGCTGAATTGTTCCTAAATCAAGGGTCGTCTTCTTTGCAGGGATGTTCATGGCGAAGTTGGAGGTGAATAAGTAAGCAAGCGTCTTGAAGTTATTTACACAACCAGTCGGCAGGTTGCCGAACCATTGTTGTGCGATTCCTTTGAGAGTCGCTGGGAAACACTTGCACCAAGTGGGATCATCAAACCCTTGAAGGTACATCAGGTTGGTGAATGCCATCAGATGGTCTTCTGGGTTAGTAGTGCCGTCATAGGCGCCTACTAATACATTTTTCACTTTGGCCGGCTGAGCGGCTTCAGTAATTTCCTTGGAGAAGGCTGACGGCTGTTCACCAAGTCTAAGAAACCGTAGCTGCCAGTCCATAGGTTGGACATTTTTTTCTACATGTCCACCAAACGGAGGTGGCTGTAAAAAATACTGTTGTTGCGGTACAAACGGTAAGTTTGGTACCGCCTGGTCGCTATGAAAGCCGGACTGACGGGAGGTGCCGCCTGACTGACTCTCATGATATGACTGAGTATGCCTTATTGAGGTATTTCTCAGACTATCTTGGAAGTTTGAAGTAGAGGTCGACTCTGACAATCGGTCACTCTTCTTCTGCTCTAGCAGTAGCCGAGCGTCTGTGTATGTTTTCCTCAACCCGTCCGCCTGAATATGACGAACAGGTTTCCTATTTCCTGGAGTAGGGAAACGATATTTTGTGAAATCAAGGGCAGGTGGCTCCCACTTCCTAGATTTAGGATGAGGGGTCGCCTCTCGCCCTTGAACTGGTTTCCTCTTCAGTGAAGTGGAGGGTTTCTTAGCCGACTGCTCCTTGTCCAGAGCAGGCGGCTTCTTGTTGATCAACTCTTGAATTTCTCCCTTGAAGTCCCTCATGAAGGTCATGAGTTCGTTCCTTGTGATGGGAGCAGACCCATCAGTCGGCTGCTGCCGAACAGGCGGTGCGCCTGCTGGCTCACTTCCAGTTTGAAGATGTTCCCGTTCCCTCCTTTCGGTATGACGGGTACGTCGGGCCCTTAGGGTCCCGTCTGAAGCTGTGTGAGCTTCAACTTCAAATTCATTCTCAGTATCGTGGTCCGACTGAACTTGAGGGTCGTCTAGGGGACGCCTCTCTTCAGGAGTCGGTACAGACGTGGATGCCATCTCAGAAGTACTCTCCCCACAGACGGCGCCAAATGTTTCGGGGCTTTCTGATGTCCTGCGGGAGAGTTACAATTCCGAGACTGAAACCGGACGCCTGTACCTGCAAAACAAACGGATGCTCCGGATGATTGGAGATCCGCCTCCGACGGTCAAGTTAGTACTTGATTAAGGAGTAATTAATGCGGAAATTAAAGTGATTGGGTCTCTCTAGGTGAGAGTGTTTAATGTGTGTAATCTGCTTTTTTGCATGTTATCTCCCTTAATGAGGATTAAGGGAGGTATTTATAACCTCGGGAAACGTGTCAATCTAGGTTTAGGTTAACCTTGGGCTGATTGGGCTTCCCACGGAAGTTGGGCTTAGGTGACCGGTTATCCCAGGTGTCATGGGAAGGACACGTGTTGTGTCGTAATTGGTCCATAGTGGACGGATCATTGCTTGACACGTGGCAGGCTCCTATTGGCCCATGTGACGGACACATGGCGGAACCTGATTGGTCCACTTGTCAGATGGTGATTGGTGGAAAAATCCCCTAATCAATAATAATGATGAAATCTGCTTTGCTCTCTTCAATCTGCTCTGCTCTGCTGAAATCTACTCTGCTGTGCCCAGAAGATCAATAGAACAGTGCCTTACTTGTATAAGGTAGAATGGTTTTTTAATCTGTAAATTATTTACATGTATATAAAAAATTTACAGAGTAGAAAACTTTCTTTCTCCGTATTATAAAAAAACTCACAATGTGTTTGTTTAAAACCATACATCGCACGGGAACTAAACTAGTAGTAATATATTAATAAAAAAAAACTAGATTAGTACTTGCGCGTTGCACAGTATAACGGTGATACACAATATCCTTTTTTTTTCTTTTAAATGATTATAAATTAATGCTACATCATAATATTTATTGTGTTATTGAAAATATACTAAATTGATGGTTAGAAGAAATATACTTTGTATAAAATATTGTATTATCTAATGAGCTTATACATAGAGTGGAGGCACAACAATATTGATGTCCCATGCCATGCACGGTTATTAGTTAATCGCTTTTAGTATAAGTAACTAGATTAGATCTCGTGCCATGCACGGTTATTTCACTATATTTAATAAATAAAAGAAAAAAAAATTGTATTAAAAAAATAGCATAGATAAAATGCATATATAACATATTATTACCTTCTTATTTTGCATATTAATGAAATGAAACATGAAATATAACGAAAGAGTTAGTTAAACAAATGAGTATATTAAAACCATGTTAGACCATATGAGTATTTTAAAAATTCAATGATAAATAAGTATAAATTTACTTTTTATTAATCAAATAAGTATTTGAAATCACAAATGCCTTGTTTGGTAGTAAGCTTATTGGGGGTATATTAGCTTATTTGACTAACTTTAGCTGATTGACTAGTCAAACAAGCTAATACAAGTGTTTGGTAGTAAGCTTATTGAAAGAGCTTATTCCACTAAATAAGCTCTTTTTGAAAAAGCTCATTTTAGGAGCTTTTTCAATTAGCTTATTCATTAATTATTGTGAAATGACACTTATAACCTCATTTAATTTAAAATCCTATCTAAACTACCTACCCCACAATTAGCTTATTGGTCATTTCAAATACTCAATCACCTTTAAGCTATTAGCTATTTACCAAACACTTTTATATAATAAGTTAATACAATAAGTTAGTCAAATCAGTTAATAAAACCAGCTAGTCAAAATCAGCTAACTCAATCAGCTTCAGCTTTCTCCCAAATAGGGCCAAAGTCTTATATGTGGTTGGCCACACCGTGTGGCCTTGCTAACCAATATAGAGGTTACTTCGTTAGTGTAAAGGGGGTTACTTAGTTAGTGTTAAAGGGGTTATTTCATCATTGTTATAGAGTTACTCGGTTAGCGTTATAGGGATTACTCGATCGGTATTACAAGGGTTACTTAATCAATGTTATAGGGGGATTATTACCTTAAGTAACCACATGGTGTGGTCGGTCGCGCGCACACAAGGCGGGCTGATTTAAAATTGTGTATTATTACACTTAATGGGAAGGAATGATAGCCCCGTTTTAATATTTAGTCAATTTTTATCCTAAATTATTATATTATATGAAAGTATTGGAGATACAAATACAAGAATTTTATCAAATTATCTTACATGATACATGTATAGATAAAGTGTTAATAATGTTATGCTATGTTGCTAATTAAACTCCCCTTGTATTTTTATTAGACTATTCATATTAGAATTAGGCGAGAAATCAATTAAAATATTAAAAAAAAGAAAAAAAATCAAAATTCCCATTTAATAATAATTTGTGTAGTACAAATCTATTATTTAATAGATTCATCTGTTTAAATTATATTTTAATCAATTGAATGAAAGAAATTGTGATGTATTAATGATTTTTATTAGAGAGTAATATTTATGAAAAACGGAGTAATAACTCAAAGGAATATACTCCCTCCGCCCCCCATTGATAGTCATTTTTGCTTAAATCACGGGAATCAAAGAGAAATAAAGAAAGTATATTGAAAAAGTTAATTTACATTGGGTATGCAAAAAAATAGAGAGAAAAAGTAATTAAAGTACATGGGAAAGTAAAATTTACATGGAAAAGTTAAATTTGCACAAATATTTTTGCAAATGTTAGAGAATTTTGGTAATAATAATAATAATAATAATAATAATAATAATAATAATAATAATAATATTAATAATAATAATAATAATAATAATATTATTAATAATAATAATAATAATATTAATAATAATAATAATAATAATAAAAATGAAATAAAGGACAAAAATGAAATTGATCAAACTATCTATTTTGTGTACCATTTATTTCATTTTTATTTAAAGTATTTCTTAATATTGATTTCAGCAAGCAAGAAGAAGTTCAACCAAAAGTGCAAAGCAATCTAGTAAAGAATAGTCTTGGCCAAAAGTAAGAAAACTTAAATGTTCAATTTAGATAGACTATATGTTCATTTGAAAATCAGTACAAAAAAGTTTGCTCATGGCCAACAGTAATATAAGTTATATGTTCATTTTTTTATTTACTAATCAAAATTGTAAATTCAAATATATTTTTAATGAATTATCAGAAAACCCAAAGATGATGCAAGAATAACAACATTAAAGGACAAGATGCAAGAAATACATTTAGACATAGAGAGAAACCCAAAGTATGTTTAAATTTAAATAATTGAATTAATTTAATCAATTAATGAATATATTTCAAAGTTATATAATAGTATCATACATTTACAGGAAGTACAAAGAATCGACAATCAGAATTATGAGAAATCTCAAAAGAATGGAAAAAGCAAGCAAGGAAATCAGGAGAGGTAAATGATCATATTTATTGAATATTTTTGTTTAATAGTCATAAATATCAATTTTAGCAATACTATTACTTTTGAAGGTGAAGCAAAAAAGAAAGAAAAAGGGCCAGTAGAAGAGAAAACTGTGAAAAAAGGTAAAAATTTTAAAATGTACATTTTTATTACAAAAAATGTTCATATTGGAAAAGCATAATATTAAATATTCAATAAGATTAAAAAAATTAAATTTTAACTAAATAAATTTTAATAGAAGGACAAGAAGGAAAAAAAGGGACTGAAAAAGAGAAAAGCCCTAAAGACAAAACTGTGGAAGATGTCTTTCCAAAGACAACAAATGTAGAAGGTAAAAATTTATAAATGTACATTTTTATTACATAAAATGTTCATATTGGATCTACATAATATTGAATGTTCAATAAGATTAAAAAAAAATATAAATATTAACTAATTAAATTTTCATAGAAGGACAAGAGGGAAAAAAAGAGCCTGAAAAGGAGAAAATCCCTAAAGAGAAAACTGTGGAAGATGAGTCTAAAAAGACAACAGATCCGAAAGGTAAATAGTGGAAAATGTACATATTCATTATCTGGAATGTTCATTTATATTGTATTTAGTAAACATTTGTCATCCAATTTACATAAATGTTTATTTAACCTTTTATATGTGATCATTTCATATGCAGCACAAATTGCACCTGATTTTGTTCAAATTGAGGATGAAACTCATCTTCTAGATCAAGATGATGATAAAGTTTCCACAAAACTTAGTGAGGAGACAGCCCCATCATCACAAAAAAGTGATCAGTCAACCAAAATGAAAACAAGATACAAAATGGTTGCAAGGAAAAACAAAAACAAAAGCCCTGTTGTTGTGCCAAGTGGTAGAATTACAAGGAGCCAAGGTAATCATAATACTTTTCTGTTTCACAATAAATATTACACTTTCAAATATACTAACATAAATTTTTTTAAAAACAATAGATGTTTTGTTAGATGAATCTGAAAAGGGAAGCCAGAAGAAGGATGTTGAACCTGCTAAAGAAACCACAAAAATAGGACAGAAGAGAAGAATGTCTACAAGGACTTCTCCTATTCAAAAGGAAGCTGATGCACCACCTCCAGCACCTACTCCAATAAAAAAAATGGCAGGTGCTCCTGCTGAATATCCTCCAGACCATGGCAAAAAGGGTAAATGTTCAATCTTAATGTATAGAATGATCATTTATGATGGTATATCATTAATGTTCAATTTCAATATATAGGTGGGAAAAAGAAAACTCCAGCACCTACTCCAATCAGAAAAATGGCATGTGCTCCTGCTGAATATCCTCCAGACCAAGGCAAAAAGGGTAAATGTTCAATCTTAATGTATAGAATGATCATTTATGATGGTATATCATTAATGTTCTATTTCAATATAAAGGTGGGAAAAAGAAAACTCCAGAAGAAGTGAAGAAAACTTCTAAGGTTGCTGGCAAAAGAAAAGCAGGTATATTACGATATATTATAAATGTTCAATTTCTATATATAGAATGATCATTTGAGAAAACAATTTTGTTCATAATATATTTGCTTACTGTACATTTTCAATACTTAAACAAAATCATATATTTAATTTTCAAATGTCAGTCCTGCCAAGAGAAATGCTGGAAAGAGAAAAAAAAATACAAGAAGTACCATCAGATGAACCGGCAAAGAAAGGGAATCCAGTGAAGGCAAAGGCTGAAAAGGAGGAGCAAAAGATGGTATTGTATGATGAAGGAAAGATTGAAGGTAGGGGAAAAAAGAAAATGAAAACTGAAATGGTTCAAGCAATGGAAACTGATGAAGTTGAGGAAATTCAGGAAGATGAATTTGAGGAAGAGAAATCTTCAAAGAGAGGAGGACATGTGAAGTTCATTGCATGGATAAAAAAGATGACACCTACCCAAAAACAACAAGTTGTTGATATAGGGTTAGGATCACTTCTTGACATTAGTTTACCTCAACTTGATCAAAAGTTCTGTAATTGGTTATTGGGAAGTTTTGAAGAAAATAGCCAGTGTTTTGAACTACCAAAGAATGAAAAAATAGAAATTGAGGTAGAGGATGTTAGGGTAGTTTATGGCTTGCCTACAGAAGAAATTCCAATTGTTGAGCCAAATTCTGATAAAATTAGTGAGGAGTATGCAGAATTTCTGAAGAAATGGAGAAAATCATGGTCAGGAAAAACTCCATCAGTGAGTAAGGTATGATCAGTTTTAAATGTTCATTTTAAATACATTAAATGATCAAAAGTATAAATGTTTTGTTCATTTTGTTTGCAGATTGTGAATGGATACATAAATGATAAATTCACCAACAACAGACCACCAAGTGAACATTTCATTACTAACTTTTTAGCAGTGGCTGTGAACTGCTTGATGAAATGTGTATCAAACAATCAATGCCATTTCAAATTTCTTTATTCTATGATGGACAAAGAAAACATAAAAAATTTGAACTGGTGTCAGTTTGTATATGACTCACTTATCAAATGTCATGTTGATTGGAGAAAGCAGCAAGGCAAGGGGTTCTACAAAGGCCCTCTTCAATTTCTGATGGTATATTCTTAGATACAAAATGTTCATTTAAATTTTAATAAATGCACTTTTTTTTATTGTTTATGTTCTGTTCCATGTTTTCTTTTTTCTTGTAGTTGTTCTATTTTGATAGAGTTCAGAGGTTAGACAAAAGGCCTCCAAGAAAAATTCCTATCATATCTGCATGGAATAGAGACATGGTTCTTGAGAGGTTGAAGATTGAATTAGAATTGGGATTTGGGAGAGGGAAAGTTCTACCAAGGATTGCTGCAGAAGTTGAAGAAAGTCCTGAGGTTATAAAATGATCACTTTTTTTAACATAAATGTTCATTTGTATAATCTGAAATGTTCAACTGCATAATTTTTAATATTCATTCATATAGGTTTTTATGGATGATTTTGTTTCCCTGGTAAAAACAACTTGTTCAAACCTGTCAAAGCTTTCTTCAAAATTGGTGAAGGCAAAGGATATCTTCCCTGGAAATGACTTGGTGAAAAAAGTTGATGAAGTTTTAGGAAAGGTGGCAGCTAGGGAACCATCAATTCTAAGCCAAGATGAAGAATTCTTTGGCAGTGAGGATTTCCTAAATGCACTTGCACAAGCTGAGAAGAATCTGATGCAAGGGTCTGAAAAGCAAACAACTGAGAAGCAAATGACTGGGAAGAAATTAACCAAAAAAGGAAAGGAAAAAGAACAAGAATATGACATCAGAAAAGCTTTCAGCTTGGGGTTGACTCCACCTTCTCCAGCCATTGGTAAATTCTAACTAAGAGACTATATATCCTAATTTTTATATGAAAAATTCTAAATTTGTGGTCTAAATTGTCCTAAACAGAAACAGGGCCCACCTCTTCAACACTTGGTGATATAATTGAACAACCAATAATTTCAACAAATGGTAATATGTTCATATATTTAATAATAATGTACATAAACTTAAGTAGAAATGTTCATTTCTAATTATTATGTGTAAATACTATTAACTTAGAGTATCTCCAAAATGATGATTTATAATACAGCTGGAGAAAAGGATGTGGGTAAAACTTCAGCACCTTCAGAACAAAGAATTGAAGAATTTTATAGAACTGGTATAATGTTCAATTAAAAAGTGTAAAATGTTCATTTACAAACAAGAAATATTCCTTATTAATTGTATTTTTTTGTTAGATGCAGCAACTGGTTCAAAATTTGATGCTGACACTAGGTTAGATAATGAAGGATTGCCTAGAACAGGTATAATGTTCAATTATAAATACTCAAATGTTCATTTACAAAGAAATAATATTATATCTAATTAAATTTTTTCTTAGATGCAGGATCTGGTTCAGTGGTTGATGCTGACCCTAGGTCAGATGATGGTGAAAAAAAGTGATGATCCAAATAACACAGTTGGAGATGGAAAACAAAACAAGGAAGATGTTTTTGAAAAAACAAAAAATGATGAAAAAGTGGAGGGGTAAAATCTTGAAGACATGTCTTACTATTAGGGTTATGTAATTAGTAAGGATAAAATATCTAGATGGAACAATTTAACTTATGTTACTATCGTGTTGTAACTTGAAACTGGAGTTTCTCAAACTATTGTATGTGTGTACATTATTTTGTTGAATATGTAATATGAATGTGTAGTTTATGTTAAATCAATATCTTTCATTTTATGAATTGAAAATGATTCAGGGTGTTACATAAGAAGCTTATATTTTATTAATAAGTACTGACATTGTTTGACTTTTCAGTGAAAACAAGAAGATTGTTGCTTCATCCTCAAAAGTCACAAAAAGGTACATTATTTATATTAAGTAAATGTTCAAAAATAATAATGAACATTTTCATATACCTAAATGTACATTTGTGTTATGTAATATGACCAGGAATGATGATAAGAAAAAGTCAATTGCAGAAAAGAAGAAAAAAACTGAAAAGGAAAAGGTTGAAAGGTATAATTTCAAATTTATTTATATACACTCAAATGTTCATTTATGTTCCTCATAATTTTCTTAATTTAACAATATTTTATATTGAACAACAAGACCAAAACGCAAAAGCAAACAATTCCTCCTGCTTTCCGATCTCCTTACTTGGTCAAGTACAAGGATCTGTTTAAAGATGAGAAAGCCATGAACCAAATTGCAGTAGACTTTGCTCTTGGTGGAAAAGATGAAAGGTAATTAATTACACTAATTAAACTTAAGGTTTAATATCTTTTATAAAAATATGTTCACATTCATATTATTAAATGTTCATAATGCAGTGGACTCTTATACTATGATGGCTTGAATCTCATCAATAGAAATGAAATGAAAACTCTTGGAAATGATGTTGAAGTGACAAATTGTGTCATAGATGGATGGGCAAGGTTTCTTAATCATAAAAAGCCGAGAAACAAGATTTATTTCTCAACAATGCTTCATGTTAGTCTTTCTTCTTTTTTTATATTATTGATTCTATTTTCCTATGATAAATAATTGCTAAAAATTCATTTAACTTCTATATGTTTGTTTCTATTTCAAAAACACATTATGTGCACAAATAGAGTTTGTCGAGAAGGATCATCAATGAAGACAAGAATTAATGCCTTCATATAAAGAATTGACAATGAACTGAAGTTGAATAAAATTGACAGCATTGTTGGATATAAACAAGTATTAATTCTTGTTTAATACAAATGTTCAATTACATTCAATATATTGTCCAATAACATTATATAATTTGTTCAGGTCTTCTTCCCAGTATCAACTTCTCAACATTTTTTTCTGTTGTGCGTCAATCATATAGAAGACAAAATTCATATAATTGACAATAGAAAACTACCAAAACATGTATCAGTCCAAGCAAAATATGAAGAACAACCAAAAATGATGGTGAGATAATATGTTCATTTATATTTGGCTACATGATCAATTATATTTTATTAATTGTTCATGTCTTCATCACAATACAAACTTCTAAACAATTTTTACTCTTTTTTCTATCAGTTAAAAGGATTGGCAGAGTACATGAAACACCTTGGATATGAAGATGCAAAAAGAATTGAAGACTACACAGTTGTTTTGGAAAAGATGAAATGGCGTAGCAACAATGACTATACAAACTGTGGAGTTTACATTATGAAGCATATGGAAACCTTCACTGCTGATCCTAATGAGAGCTGGATTTGTGATTTAAAACCAAACAATGTAAGAGTTATAAATGATCAATTATTTAAGATATAATGTTCATTTATGAAACAGTAAAGATTGTTTAATTAAAATTTGACAATTCATTTTGTTCAACAGGTGGAACAAATTAGAAAGCTAAGGCTCCAATACACAGCAGAACTGATGTTATTTTAAGAAAACACTGAATCAAGAGCAAATAGAAGGAAAGCTAGAAAATTTGCAACTTTGTAGTTTCAAATGTTCATTTACAACTATGTATATGTTCATTTCTTATATATGACTATTTTTTTTTTAAAGAAATAGACTTATATATGGATTTTATTTTAATATTATTGTAATTGATATTTCATTTTAATCTTTGAATGAAAGTTTTTTATATTTTATTTTAATATTATTGTAATTGATATTTCATTTTAATCTTTGAATGAAAGTTTTTTATAAGTTTTATAAATTGGATGTTGGTTCTTACTTTTGTTCATATACAAATGACTAAATAATCATTGATAAATGTAGAATTTTAAAACATATAAAATTCTAATGACTAAATAATCATTGATAAATGTATAATTTTAAAAACATATAAAATTCTAATATAAAGTTCAAATATACTAAAAATAGTACTATATAAAATATAATATTTATGTCTTTTACATAATAGATCGAAAATTCAAAATTACAAAATAGTAATTAAATCAACATTACAAAAAAGTCTAATGTTTATAAAGTTCTGGAATACTAATTATTTATCTTTATTAGCCAAACGTTTAGCTACACTTGTATCAAAAAAGGCTAACAACCTATCATACTTGGAAGAAATCTTTTTAGAACCTAATTGAACATTTCTTGATTGAAGAATTGGAACACGAGCACCTTGATCATTTCTTTGAACAGTGGGAGGAGTAACTTGAACATTCTGAACACGAAATCCTTGATCATTTATTTGAACCGTAGGAGAAATAACTTGAACATTTGTTGATTGAACATTCCTGGAGTTGGATATGATCATTTCTGGATTGGTGTTTGAACAATTCTGAGTTTGATTTTGAACATTCCTGGGAACAGTAGGTTGAATAACAATAGGAGATTTTGTTGACGCACTAGTATGAATTGGAACTCTTGGATTAATTTGAGAGTAAGTTTTAACACCAGAAGCACCTTTATTTGCACCAACATTAGAACGAGCTTGAACAGCAGAAACACCTTCAAGATTTAAATCCTTCGCCTTTAAAAAAAATTAAATTGATCATTAATAAACCAGTATATGATCAGTTACAAACACTTATACAAACAAATATGGAAAAAAAAAACCTTAGCAATAGATGAAATATCAACATCAATAGATATGCTGGATGAAAGAGAGCTTTAACCAGTAGCCTACAAAAAAACCAAAAAAAAAATAATAAATAAAAAATTAAATAAAAAAATTATAATGTAGAACATAAATGCCAAAAAATAAAATAAATTTATAATCAATAACAAACAAACATACCTGATCAAAATCATTGGAAATACTATGATCTGATTCCTTAGAACTAGAAGGAAAATCTTCTACAACAGCTGATTTAAAGCCAACCTATATTTTTAAATTATAAAAATCAATATTAATAAAATATAAATAAAATGTTTTTTTTGGCACATTTGAATTTACCTGAGCCCGTTTATTGCTCAAAACAATCAATTCAGTGGGATCACTAATAGAATTAGCATAAGTAACAACACAACCGTTCTCATCAAGTTCTTATTTAAAAAAAAACATAAATGATCATTTACGAAAACTTAAATGATCAATTTGAAAATATGAAATGATCATATACCTGTACAACTGCTTGCCCTATACCCCTTTTGTAAGGAGTGTACAGAGACTTTTTCCTCTTGAAATTACTCTTTGCCTTGTTACACTGCTTCTCCAAAGTACTCTTAGGCCTTACATTCCTCTAACCTTTAGGCCTAGCTTTTGGAGGATTCTTGATCTCAAGATCAACAATTTCAACCTCTTTAACAGGTTCACTAAAGTCAATTACACCTGATACGCTCTCAACCTTTTCTTTTAACAGATTGAAATAACACTCAACCTCTGCCCTTGCATTCAAAGAATTCTGACAACTTGTTATCAACTTAACAAACTTTCTGATTGTTTGTGACCTCCAAACACTAGTAGCCACAACATTTGTCCTCAAAGTAGGTTCTTCAATACCATGACTACACATGGCAGCCTTTGTCCATCGTTTCATTATATACTCTTGTGGAATATTACGCACACAATGCAAATGATATACTCGAAGAGAATGAGAACAAAGTAAACCAGTCTCACTAAAGTACATGCATGTGCAACAAATTGCATGTGTTTCCTTATTAAAAACAACTTCATGCTTAATTATATCCTTCCCAGGCCTCCAAAGAAGATATGAATATTCTGGAAAACGCAAACCATTATCAACATGATCATAAGTTGTCCCCCTAATGAACTCCTCTTCAAAAAGCACATAAGCTTGAATAGTGTACAATGATCTTGCATGAACTAATATACCAATATTAGCAAAAGCTAGGTGCCTATTACCCCTCAGAGTATTGTAATCTCTTGCACCTTCCTTACTTCTCCACTCAGAAATGACATCAAGAAAAACATGATAAAAATCACATAAACCTTGAGTCTTATTAAGACGTTGTGAAACTGACTTATTAGTAGTTTCACTACGTTGAGAGGACAATATACCACCAAACCAATACTTCTTAGAATAAGCAGAACACCACATTTCCTTTATTTTATACAAATCACATAACCAATCATAATTTTCACATTTGCATTTATCACACATCCTGTATAACAGAAATGATCATATATTAATTAAAAAATGAACAAAATATAAATTAAAATATGTACATTTGTATAAAGAATAATGATCATAAACAATATGAACACTAATAATATTATGATAACATACATAACAAAGTAAATTGTATGATCATATGTAAAACACTAAATGTTCATATATATATCACATAATAATCAAATATATCACATAATAAAAATAAAAAATAAATACAAAAAACAATAATTTACCTTTTCCAGAAATATTCAAATTCAGCAGGAGTTTCACAATACTTCAAAAGATATCCAAACAAATCTGTAAAGCCTTCCAAAGCTCTCAATGCTCCAATGTGTTTCTTAGAATTTTGTTCAAGATGCCATACACATAAACGATGATGAACAGTTGAAGGAAAAATGTTTCTTATACCCGCTGCAATCGCTTGTGCTTGATCAGTCATAATTGTAATGGGACTTTTCCTCCCCATTGAGTGCAAAAATGTATCAAACAACCAATCAAAAGACTCGGTGCGCTCATTAAGAATAAAACCCATACCAAACATGACATTGTTACCATGATGGTTCATCCCAACAAATGGAGCACATATCATTCCATATTTATTAGTTCTATAAGTTGTATCAAAAACCAACAAATCTCCAAAGTAATGATAATCTCTCATCATCCTACCATCACGTCAAAAAAAACTAACTAAAGCACCACTATCATCTTGTTCAAAATCATAATAAAAATCTGCCTCATCCACATGTCTTTTGGCAAAATATTTAATCAATTGGTTACTATCACATCCTTCAATTTGGGCAGCTTTTTCAGATGACAATGCATTATAAGCATCAGAAGCAGTAAAACAAAGATTAGGAGATCCCCCAACCTCCTTCTTTAGAACCCTCAAAGAATCAGTAACTTTGACTCCACTCAATTTCATTGTTGAAATGAAAAGAAGCTGCTCTTTATTCACATCTCTTTGAGACCTTATCAAATGCCTTTTTTCAGGAGGAATCATAGCATGATTATGAACCATTTCATGTCTTGTACATGTATAGACCCCTAAATGATCAATATGAAACTGCACAAAAGCTAAACAACCAGTTCGATGATCCAACTTCTCATAAATCCTTTTATTCTTACACTTATTATCTTTGAATCCCTCATTACAACAAACAAATCTTTTCATCAAAAAAGAATCATCTCTTCTTCTCTTACTCTTCCCAATTCGAATTCCAAAACCTTTCCTAAAAGCATATTTATTATACGCTTCGAAAGCTTCATCTTCAGATTTAAATTCTTTATCCTTTAATTCAGATTGTTCTGCTTCTAAATACATAATATCATCATTTTTTTCCACTGCACAATATACAATTATAAATGATCATAAAGAGTTTCATGAATGAACAATAACAAATAAGTAAAATGTTCAATATCAAAACAGCACATGATCAATAGCAAAAAGAATTTCAGCACGTAATATTTTGAACAATATTTTCATTATTTACCACTACACATAATATCGATATAAAAATGTAAAATTAAATGATCAAAAATGACTTTAAGACTGAACATAAACACATTAGTAAGTATGAATAAGAAAACATAAACGATTAATTGAAAGTATAATCTACAAAATATACAACAAAAACACACAATTCTAAAACACAGAGAAAACAACAAATGAAACAACAAATGAAGCAACAAAATGTTCATACAAAGTATAACAATGCAAAAACGTTCATCATAATATAATCAAAGTAGTAAATTCAAAAATCGAAAGTGAATAATAATACATCAATTAAGTTCAAATTAACAGAGCATTATAACAGAACAAATTAGAGATAATTAAAAATTGCAAAATTATGATCACAATTACTCACATTGTTGCACAAACGAATCAACCAAACGAACTCCAGAAGGAAACACACGCTCGCAATCACGATCAAAATCAACGCAATCTCCAGATGCAGAATTCGCCATTGATGATCGGTAACAATTAACGAGTTCGTTCAAAAAATCAAATGAAGAAGATGAATTAACGAGAGAAAAATGTAGATCAAAAATGGAGGTTGATCAATTGAAGAGAGAGAAAAAATAGGGTTTAAAATCATATATATGCATAGCTTGAATAATAAGAAACAAAGAAAAAAGGAAAAAAAAAAAGAGAAAAAAAAGGAAAGAATCGCAAAAGGAAAGAAGCTGCACATGAGAACTCAATACCAGCTACAAAACGACGTAGCATAGGGGGGGTGTAGGGAACACTAGTGTAGGGTAAAATTTTCACCATATTCCGTCAGTTAGCAAGAGAAGTACAAGTGAATATAAAAGCAATATCTGGTACACTGTGGGCCCACAAGGACGACTGATTGACAAAATTTTGCCAATCAGCTTGATTGCCTGGGTCTGGCTCTTTAATAATATTTTATAAAATCATAAATCTTTTTTTTTTTTTGAAAACAAATCTTTTTCATATAATCATACCATTTTTTTTATTAACTTATCACACATATTTTTTTTTTGAGGGAACATGTTTTATTTGTAAATTATGAAGTTCTAATTTTGATAATTACACGATAAAAATCTTTCCATTTAAACATAGGGTGTTAAAAAAAAATTTATCATTTACATTTGTATATTATAAATTACGTTTTAATTTTAAATTTCTTTTAATAAAATTACATGATATGTTTCAAAAAAAAAAAAAAAAAATTACATGATAATTTCTAATTTTATACATTAATATATATCGTTTTTTCATTAATAGATAATGAATAATGTTGTTGATAAAATTAATTATAAATCAATCATAAGATAAATTTTAATTTTCTCAAAATTTTAGATTTATTGGACGAATCTGAACATGGGGCAGGTTAGGGTTTTTATTAAAAGGTCTCCCAGACTCCAACCCATTAAATTGCTCAGTCAATAAGGTAAAAAAAAAAAAACCGCATGAAACTAGTGTCTCGTCCTCCTGTCTCTTACTCCCTCCTCTATCTCATCTCAATTCTCCTTTGAAGCAAACTCAACATCGCACTTGACGTTCTCCATTACAAAGTATTTTTTCTTTGCAGCTTCGAGGTAAGTTGTTTTTACGGAGTAGTAACCATTCAAGGGTTCATCTTTGATCTAATTTAATTTATTAAGTATAGGCCAGGTTTCGAAAATCTCAACTATTGGTTCAAAATACTAAGATTATGAAAAGAAAATTATGAGCCTGATTTGATATTTAAATCACATAATATCTGTTTATGCCAAATTTCGCCAAAGGGTGTCCTAAGGCTGGGACGTACGACGGCTAGAGTTATAAGCTGTAGAAAGCGTAAAATAAAGCAAGGTGTTTGATGACGCAGAAAACCCAAATGCGGGAAAAACTGCGGGTGGGTGCAAGACCACCGATTCACTATGAAAAACTGATGATTACAGTGCTATGAGAGCTTTAGAATTTAAGTGCTAAGTAGTAGCGAATGATATGATGCTAAATGATACAAGTGATTAGCTATTTATATTCAAACGAGCTAGGTTAACTGAGCTGGATGGAGAGCCGTTGGAGATGCTTCAACGTCCTCCTTAATAATAGGGAGCCGTTTCTTGACTAGGTCTCGTGTCTATCCCTTCAAAGTAGGAGAAACAAACTGCCTAAGTTGAATTTTACTTGAGACTTGGTCAACCCGTGTTTTGAGGGAAATATGCTGCGCTTGCTGTTCCATCGTCCCTTTGGTCATGCGTCGAGATGAGCCTGAAAATTAACCATAACAATATCCCTAAAATTTTGTTTGATAATTGAATAAAATTTGGTTGATCTGATAATGTATTAATGTTAGACCTCTTGTTCAATTCCTCCTGCCCAAAATTTGTATCGTGTTAAAAGAATAATAGTAGTTCTCTAATCAGTAGATAAACCATAGTTGGATCGGATTATATTATGATATGATTTGTTTTTCTTAATTAAGCATAATTGAAACTTGCAGTGTGTTGTGACAGGTTAGGTTAAAAAATATGGAAGACTATAGAATACTTCCGAGCTACTTGGAGTTTATGGTCGAAAGACATGAGTATGACTATCAATTCTTTACTGGAAGTGTTGGCTCAGGTTTCTTGTTCGGCACCTTAGGCGGGAGTTTGTGCCATTTTTTCAAGGGTTTGGCCTGATCCCAGTCATTTGGTGGCGGAATCAATGCAATGCGCGTTAATAGCGTCCGCACTGGGGGATTCTTTGCTTGTTTTTGTTTGGCAATTGACATTCCGTCTTATCTTTTTTATAAATACCGTGGTCAGTGTTAAGAAAATAATGCAAATTTTCTATTTAATCAAATTTGAGGGAGAAATAAATTACATAAACAAAATGTCTATTTATACCAAATTGCAAAAAACACAACCCCTCTTTTCTCTGAGTTATTTTTCTTCTCTCAGATTTTCTCTTGAAATTATTCCATACAAATGAAGGAAATGCTCAATTTATAGTTTTCCTAAAACAACCTAAGTCATTTAAAATTTAGCCTGCAATATTTATTACCATTAGTTATTTTTCCCTATATTTGGAAACACCTTTAATTTTCAATGGTAATGCATGGTTATTTAATAACCATTTATTTTTTTTCTTTATGTTTCTTAATTATCTGCCAACAATCTCCCACTTGAAGACTGATTTCAATCTGTCTTCACACCAAGGAGTAGAACCTCAACTAGTCTTCTGTCATTTTAAGACCAATTGATGTTGAGCACAATTTCAACTTGTCAATCGTCACTGTTTTCGTTAACATGTCTGCTGGATTCTTACTGCCAAGAATCTTTTTAAGAGTTAACACTTCATCTTCTAGAAGAGACCTGATAAAGTGATAACGAATACCGATGTGCTTTGTTCTTGAGTGAAACGCCGAATTCTTTACTAAATGTATAGCACTCTGACTATCTCTATACAAAATATTATTCACTTGTTTGAACCCCAGCTCATCTAACAAACCTTGAAGCCATATCATCTCTTTACTAGCTTCGGTCACTGCCACATACTCAGCTTCTGTAGTGGATAAAGCAACAATCTTTTGTAGTTGGGACATCCAACTTACGACTGTATTTCCAACTGTAAATACATAACCCGTTGTGCTCTTTCTATTATCGACTTCACCGCCAAGTCGTAAATACCTCAAAATCCATTTAACAGCTTCCCACTGGACTTTTTCTGGATTGGACATAAACCTGCTTACAACTCCCACTGAATGTCCAATATCTGGTCTTGTACAAACCATTGCATACATCAAACTTCCAATAGCCGAGGCATAAGGAACCTTGGCCATATATTCTTTATCTTCATCTGTCTGAGGGGACTGATCCTTTGATAGACGAAAATGACTCGCCAACGGTGTACTAACAGGCTTAGCATCACCCATATTAAATCTCTGAAGAACACGTTTGATGTACTCTGATTGTGATAACTGCAAAGTGCCTCTCTGCTTATCTCTTGTGATTTGCATTCCTAAAATCTTCTTTGCTGGACCCAAGTCCTTCATGTCAAATTCCTTTGACAATTGATGCTTCAACTTTATAATATCATTCATATCAGAACCTGCTATTAACATATCATCAACATAAAGTAATAGGATGATATAACTGGATTGATATCTCTTGAAGTAGTAACAGTGGTCAGCGTTGCACTTCTGGAAATCTTCCTTGTGCATGAAGTTATCAAACTTTTTGTACCATTGTCTTGGGGCTTGTTTTAGCCCGTATAAACTTTTCTTAAGTTTGCATACCATCTGCTCTTTCCCACTTTTTATAAAACCTTCTGGCTGGTGCATGTATATTTCTTCATCAAGATCTCCATGAAGAAATGCAGTCTTCACATCTAACTGCTCGAGATAAAGATCTTCAATTGCAACAATACTCAACACTGTTCTAATGGTATTGAGTTTCACAACAAGAGCGAATATCTCATTATAATCAACTCCTTCTTTCTGTTGAAAACCTTTGACAACTAGTCAAGCCTTATACCTCTTGGAATCATCGTGCTCCTTTTTTGCTCGATATATCCATTTGTTATGAAGGGCCTTCTTACCTATGGGTAACTCAGTTAGTTCCCATGTCTGGTTTGAAATCAGGGATTGCATTTCATCTTTCATTGCAAGCCCCCACTTGCTAGCATCTATGGTGTGGGATGCTTCATAATAATCTTCTGGTTCCCCATCATCAGTTAATAACAAATAATTCATATATTTTCTATTACGCACATGTGGTCGAGTACTCCTTCTTAGTGTAGGAGTTGGACAAGAAGGTTGTTGTATGTCATTTGATTGCGATGTACTGCCCTGTACAGTCTGTTCTTCTTGTTGCGGAGTACTTATGATAGTGTACTCTTGCATCGTAGTGTCTGGGACATAATCTTCATCAATGAATGTAGATTCTTTTTGATTTGTTTCATAACTCTCAATTTTATGCCTATCTTTGTACATGACTCTCTCATTGAAAATTACATCTCTTGAACGAATAATCTTTTTGCTTTCATCATCCCAAATGCGGTATCCGAACTCATCTTCGCCATAACCGATAAAAGTGCAAACTTTTGATTTAGGATCAAGCTTATTTCTGCCTTGATCACTAATGTGCACATAAGCTACACAACCAAATACCTTTAAGTGCGACAATTTGATCTCTTTGCTGCTCCATACCTCCTCTGGTAATTTGTACTCCAATGGGGTTGATGGTCCTCGATTGATCAAGTAAGCTGTTGTATTGACTGCTTCTGCCCAGAATTGTTTTGGTAGACCTGACTGTATACGAATGCTTCTGGCTCTTTCTGTCAATGTTCGGTTCATCCGCTCAGCTATGCCATTATGCTGAGGCGTACCTGGCACAGTTCTTTCCATCTTAATACCATGCTCGTAGCAAAACTTCTTGAATTTGGTGTCCTCATATTCTCCGCCATTGTCGGACCTGAATCTTTTGATCTTCAGACCTATTTCATTTTCAACCCTAGCTTCCCATATCCTGAAAACTTCAAACACTTCGGACTTGTATTTTAGAAAGTAAACCCATACTTTCCTAGAGTGATCATCAATAAAAGTCACAAAGTACTGTTTTCCACCTATAGACTGGGTGGTTGTTGGTCCCCACACATCAGAATGAACAAGCTCCAATTTTTCTTTCATTGGAGTTCTTCCATATGTCTGAAAGCTTACCCTCTTCTGCTTTCCAAGTATGCATTCTTCACACATGTCTAAATTCACAGATTTTAGACTAGGGAGTTTTCCAATTGAATGCATCATCTTCATTCCTTTCTCACTCATGTGACCAAGTCTTTGGTGCCATAACTTGGAATTTTCATTCTCTGTTGCAACTGCAATCGAATAACACGCTCCAGCTGTCAAATAGAGAGTACCATTCTTTTTACCATGAACAACTATCATTGCTCCCTTTGAAATCTTCCAATTATCACCTTGAAAGATTATAGTGTAACCTTCACGAGCCAACTGCCCAACTGAGATCAAGTTCTTTCTTAGGTCGGGAACATGTTTGACATCCTTCAGCTCCCAAGCTGACCCATTTAACTTAATTTTGACATTACCTTGACCAACAATATCACAAGGTTGGTCATCACCAAGGTATACCTGTCCAAGGTTTCTATGGACATACTTCTC